TGTGGTACATATACACCATGGAATATTACTCAGCCATTAAAAAGAATTCATTTGAATCAGTTCTAATGAGATGGATGAAACTGGAGCCCATTATACAGAGCGAAGTAAGCCAGAAAGATAAAGACCATTACAGTATACTAACACATATATATGGAATTTAGAAAGATGGTAACGATAACCCTATATGCAAAACAGAAAAAGAGACTCAGATGTATAGAACAGACTTTTGGACTCTGTGGGAGAAGGTGAGGGTGGGATGTTTGAAGAGAACAGCATCGAAACATGTATATTATCTAGGGTGAAACAGATCACCAGCCCAGGTTGGATGTATGAGACAAGTGCTCGGACCTGGTGCACTGGGAAGACCCAGAAGGATCGGGTGGAGAGGGAGGTGGGAGGGGGGATTGGGATGGGGAATGCATGTATATCCATGGCTGATTCATGTCAATGTATGACAAAGAATACTACAATATTATAAAGTAGTTAGCCTCCAACTAATAAAAAATAAAATAAAATTAAAAAAAAAAGAAAATTCAAGGAGTAATGACTTAAAAAACTTCTTTAAAAATTAAAAAAAATGATAACAGTAAAAATATATCTAGGGATTTCTCTGGAGCTGTTTTGGGCAGTGTGGGGTCAGTTCAGTTTCAGATAGTTCCTTGATCCGGCTTATACTTCTCACAATCTATAGGCCCCTTCCAGTGTAGTCAGTGTTAACTCCAGGATTTTAATCTGTTGCACCTGTCACTTCCAATGTGGTTCTCTTTGTTTATTATAGCTTCTTTTGTTTGGTGGTCTCTTCAGTTTCTAATTTCTACCCTGACACTAGGGGATAAAGGTGTTCACTTATTTAGGCTCACTTATTCAGTCAAGCTGTGGGGAGGGAGGAACACTGCAAACAAATATCACTGGCCTGTGTGGGGAGTGCTCGCAGTGTCTTGGCTGCACTGGGTTTGCCCTCACTCATAGCACATGCACTTTCCAAGTCTACACTTCTCAGGCTCTAGCTTGCTCTGCCGGGGAAATATTTGCGGCGGGCCCTGGGTTGCATGTACTTCCCAGGTCTAAGCCGCTCAGGTTCAGGTTCTTGGGTACTCCACAAAAGCACAGACTCAGTTGGGCCTGCGTTTTGTGCCCTTCCCAGGTCTGAGCAGCTCAGGCAACCAGGTGCTTGGTGAGCACATTCTCCCCAGGTAGGGCGGTTTGATAACTTCTCCTCTTTTAAGACTCCCTTCCTGGGATGGGTCTCTATCCCTTCCTCTTTTGCCTCTCTTTTTGTCTTTTATATTTTGTCCTACCTTCTTTCGAAGACAGTGGGCTGCCTTTCTGGGTGCCTGATGTCCTCTGCCAGCATTCAGAAGTTGTTTTGTGGAGTTTTCCCAGCATTCAAATGTTCTTTTGATGAATTTGTGGGGGAGAATGTGGTCTCCCCATCCTATTCTTCTGCCATCTTCTGAGTCGTCTCTGAATGTTGAGTGTTAAGCCAACTTTTTCCACTCTCTTCTTTCACTTTCATCAAGAGGCTCTTTAGTTCTTCTTCACTTTCTGCCATAAGGGTGGTGTCATCTGCATATCTGAGGTTTTTGATATTTCTCCCAGCAGTCTTGATTCCAGCTTGTGCTTCATCCAGCCCAGCGTTTCTCATGATGTACTTTGCATATAAGTTAAATAAGCAGGATGACAATATATAGCCTTGATGTACTCCTTCCCATATTTGGAACTAGCCTGTTGTTTCATGTCCAGTTCTAACTATTGCTTCCTGACCTGCATACAAATTTCTCAAGAGGCAGCTCAGGTGGTCTGGCATTCCCATCTCTTTAAGAATTTTCCAGAGTTTGTTGTGGTCCACACAGTCAAAGGCTTTGGCATAGTCAATGAAGCAGAAGTAGATGTTTTTGTGGAGCTCACTTGCTTTTTCAATGATCCAGCCAATGTTGGCAATTTGATCTCTGGTTCTTCTGCCTTTTCTAAATCCAGCTTGAACATCTGGAAGTTCACAGTTCATGTACTTTTGAAGCCTGGCTTGGAGAATCTTGAGCATTTCTTTAGTAGCGTGTGAGATGAGTACAATTGTGCAGTAGTTTGAGCCTTTGGCATTGCCTTTCTTTGGGATTGGAATGAAAACTGATCTTTTTATTTATTAGATGGATGTTGTTTTCCAAAGCTAAATAATAAAGATTGGCTAAATGTTTTGAAGACTTTTTCTAGTTCTGAAAGCCTCATTATTAAATGACAGTCACTGCTATGAGTAATTTTTTTACATTAGGAGTTACAAGGAATGTGAGTAAGACGTGTTTGCTACCTACGAAGAGTTTACATTTTTAGTAGGGCAATGATATAAACTCACAAATGACTACAAAAATAAGAGGATTGGAGTATAGAAGGAATTTGAGGGAGATAGAAGCAAAGTGTTAGGATTGTTCAAATTAAATCTCTTTCATGTTCAGTTGGGTAGCTCAAGGTAGGCCACAAAAGAGATTGTTCACGTATTTCAGATAACTAATGAGGCTAGAATGCCCTTTTAACTTGGGCCACAAATAGAAGAGTCTATACTTGATTTTATAAGTTTCAGCTCCCCAGTTATTTTCCCCTAGGAGCAGAGAAAAGCAATAATTATCCAGGGCTAGGGAGTGGTTAAGAGATCAGTAGAAAGGACAAAGAGGGTATTTTCTATAAGAATTAAAAACTCCAATTTTTGATTGGTTAACTTTATTCTTTTATATTAAAGTCATTAAAATGCAATATCACATTTCAGATTTCCATGTCTACTAAAGCTTCTTGAATTTGAGGCCCAAATTAACTCCTAATCTCACCAGATTTATCTAGGATATGATATTGGCTTTCTGATTCTGTATACTGTAAGGTAGTCTGACAGACCCAGAACATTATCTTAGATTGCCTCATTTTGTGATAATTATTTTATTATACCTTTCTGCTTATAGATTAATTTGGAATTTTTATTAAGTGATGGCAGCAATCTTGTATTATTTTTTAACTCTAAAACTCATAAATTAAGAGTGATAGAATATAAAATTAACAGGTTTAGGCAGCAAGCACAGTTATTATAAAAATGTTTTGAATTATATGGACCTCATTAATTTGATAGTGATTTCCTAGAACCTTCTAATTAGCTTAAGGTTCTCTCAGTAGTTTGATATTGTTTATGAATAAAAACAATATAGATTTCTTAAAAGTTTATGCATATAACAAAATATATATATTTTTATATGTATATTTACTGATTGTGTCTAGCCATTCTAGAAGACTTTGAAATACTGATTTGAAATGTTGGCAGTAGAGAATTCCTTATTTAGAATTTCTGAAAGTGTTTTTCTAATAACATTGATTTTTATGATTTCAAGAAATACTGATTTATTATATTTTACTAATTGGGGTTATATTGTATGTACGTTTTGAAATCCTGTTTTTTCTGCTTAATGTTGTAGTATGAGAATTCTCCATGTTTTTAATTACTGTTGAGAATATTTTTAGTTTCTGGTTATTAGCATTTGTCTTTATCTGTATGTCACATAGTTTATATAATATTACTTCTGTTATTAAAGATTTAGATTGTTTACAGTTTTTCACTGTTGTTTGTAGAATGGTGACAAAATCCTTGTCAAAAAGTTGTGAAACTTATATTGTGTATATATATTTATTTCATTTAAGGTTTGAAAGTTGTTTAGTGTTTAAAAAATCATTGTTTTACTAAGTGTCATGTTGGCCTGGGGTTTCAATTGCTTAATTTGTGACTAGAAATCATTTTTCCTCTTCCAGGGTATAAAACCAGCCAGTTTTGATAAAGTCACTGATCCTGAAGTGAAAGAAATCATCGAGGGATGTATTCGTCAAAACAAATCTGAAAGGTGGGTGCATATATAGTGAAATGACATAACTGATGGATGAATTTTTCTCTTATCTTGCTTTGGGTCTTTTTCTGACCTTTGAATCATGCTGGGTATGACTTTTGAGTGGAAGCCAAACCACACTGTCTATAGTGAAGTGTATTATTGCATCTGTTGCCATTTTAAATTGATATTATGTGTTGAATTTTCCTTGAACCGATATTAAACTTCATCACTTTTAGCCATCAGTTTAATAGTCCCCTCTCAGGTAAACTTTCTTCTAACAGTTGATAGATAGTGGAGAGTTTCTGCATTGTCAACTTCACATAAGTACTTAAATGGTTTTTTATGATAGTTTAAGAAAAATTTAACCATTAACTCACTAGCTGTTTTTTTTTTAATTTGTCCATATGTTCTTGTGTCATGATAATGGTAAAGCTGATAAGGCTATTTTTTTCAAGAAATAGTAATTCTAAATTTATTTGTGTCACAATTTGTATTTTTCTCACAATTCATTTTAGTTTTAGCTTTTCCCTTTAATTTGAGCTTTGGACAGTTGGTTACTTAAATTGGTAGGTTAGTGTTTTATCTCTAGTTGATTATGGTTAAATCAGATAATAGATCTTTTATAGAAATTATTTACACCAGCATTTCACTGACTCTCTTTCATTTTTATTAGTTATCTAAGCTTACTGTTGCATATCTTAAAATATAAAAAGCCCCTAAGATAAAGCCTGTTTAATTATAGCTTTATTATACAACATTCTTGGTGTTTGCACCAATAGGCTGTATCTATATATTTTAATTATGGTGAAATATAAATAACGTAAGATTTACCATTTTAATCATTCTTAAATGTACAATTCAGTGGCATTATGCACATTCACATTGTTGTATAATCATAACCACTATCTCCAGAACTTTCTCATCATCCCAAACAGAAACTCTGTGCCCATTAAATAGTAACTCCCCATTCCCTTTCCTCTCACCCCCTGCCAATCTCTATTCTACTTAGTCTCTACCTCTTTTGTAGGTACCTCCTACCAGTGGAATCAAAATATTTGTTCTTTTGTGATATATACTATTTGTCTTTTTGTGCTCTCATATACATACCATTTTGTTTATCCATTCATCTGTTGATAGATACTTGGGTTATTTCTACCTTTTAGCTATTGTGAATAACGCAGCATGAACATTGGTGAACAAGTACCTTCTTAAATCTCTGCTTTCAGTTCTTTTTGGTATATACCTAAGAGTAGAATTACAGAATCATATAGTAATAATATGTTTAATTTTTTTGAAGAACGACCAATTTTTTTTCCACAGTGGCTGCATCATTTTGCATTCCTTCCAGCAATGTATGATGGTTCCAGTTTCTTAACATCCACACGAACTGTTTTTTGGTAATATCCATCTTAGTGGGTGTAAAGTGCTATCTCATTTTGGTTTTGATTTCCATTTCCTTAAGGACTAATAATGTTGAGTATCCTTTCATGTGTTTATCAGTCAGTCATTTGTATATTTTCTTTGGAGAATTATCTATTGAAGTCCTTTGCCTTTAGAAAAAAAATTGAGTTGTTTTATTGCTGTTTTTGAATTGTAGAAGTTTAGGCATGCTTTTTTTTTAAAGCTATGCTAAAACTACTGTGTTGAAGTAGTTGTTTTAGTTTGGTTTCTGATTGCTTTTTATACAGCATTTTAATTAGGATCTATTACCAAAGAACACTGGAATATTCAAAAAAGGGTCATGGCACATTAGTGTTTTGGAAAGAGCATAGGCTTCCACAGCAGAAGATGATTAAAATCTGGAGTCACACTTAGCCAGTGTGATCTTGAGCAAGTTACTTAGGTGTTCCTCAAAATAGGTATTATTTTGATGATTAAAAAGATAATGGGTATAAAATACCTAACAGAGTAAGAAATATTTAATGAATGATACTATCTGCTGCTATTGCAGTGATTATTCCATAGTAAAATTATCTAGGCAAAACTGTCATTGAGAAGCAGAATGCTTAACTTGATTGTACATTCTTAAACACATCTCATCTCAGCCTTAAGACTAGTTAGTCTGAGCAAGCGTATTCTTTTCTTTTTTTTTTTTCCATTTATTTTTATT